TATAAAATGGGGCAGGGCTGCTGAGCGGGGCAGGGCAGGGTGGGGAGGGAAAGAGCTGCAGAAATTGCTACCTGCAGCCGCACGTCTCCACGACCATGTCCTCGTACTGTTTGTAAACCACATTGTTCCCGGAGTCTATGTAGAGGATGCTGATGGGGCTGAGCTTGGAGGGCACGCAGCAGCTGGGGGGGGTGGACTCCGGATCCATGGAGTTCATCAGGGTCTGGATGATGGCATGGTTGGTAGGCTCCAGGTGGGAGCGCAGAGGGAAGTCGCAGACCCCCTCACAATGATACGCCTCATAATCCAGGGGGGCGATTATCCAGTCATCCCAGCCTAGCTCCTTGAAGTTCACGTGCAGGGGCTTCCTGCTGCAGCGGGTCTTCGCCTTCTTCCCGTGGCCTCTGCCCCCAGACCGGGCGGCGATGGTGGTCCGTCTCTTCCTCCGCTTGGGGTGTGCCTCCTGGCCGGGATCGGGGGGCTCCAGGAAGGGGGGGCTGCCCAGGGCCTTGATCTTATCCCGGATCTCCCTGAAGAGGTTCTCCTTCCTCTGGGTGCGGGAGAAGGCCACGAGCAGGGCTCGCTCATGGGGCTGCGGCCGGGGCTTGCTGAACCCCAGCTGCCGGGGGGGCAGGAGCCGCCCTGACTGATCCGAGACGATCCTCAGCAAGAAGCACAGCAGCTTGCCAGAGGGAGATCTCTCCCTCCCATCCCGCAGGGCTTCCCAGACATCAAACACCTCCCATCTGGAGGAGCCCGCATCCAAAATGTCTGCAGCCCTGGAGTCCAGCAGCCGGGGCTCCTCGCCATCCCAGCTTGGGCAGGTGGAGAGGAGGAGGTGGTGGAAGGTGCCTTCAGGGGACAGGGCCAAGCTCCGGTTTTCGGGGAGGGCACGCAGGACCCGCAGCTCCGCGCCCATCACCTCCTCCGCCTCAGGCAGGCTGGAGATGTCAAAGAGGTATCGCTGCTCGGGGGCGGACGGGGAGGCATCTGGAAGAGATAAAACAAAAAATAAAAAAAAAAGGGGAAAAAAAACCAACCCAGGAAGCTGAAGCCAAGCTCTTATTACGGAGGCGCAAGGGACACAGAGCTAATGGGGGAGATCATTGCCTTGCAGCAACGCTCGCTGAGCATCCCAGCGGGGACACAGCCTGTGTGCCCTGCATCCAGGAGCGTCACCCTGGCTGGAGGCACCAAAAAAAAACCTGGAGGAGAAGGCGGAGAAGGAGGGAGGAATCAATTCAAACAAGTGGCTTCTATCAGCACTCTTCCCGGCATCCCGAGGTGGCTTCTCTGCCTCCTCCCAGGTGCTTCAGTGCCCCCAGCTGCACCACTATCCTGCATCACAGTTTTGGCATGGAAAGCCGCATCTGAACCTGTGCGGCACAGTCCCATCCCCAATCAGCAGGTTGTCACTGATTTCTTCTGCCCTAAGTGTCGTCGTTCCCCCAGCCCCAGCCATGCCAAATAAAATGCTGTGAAAAATCTCATTTTCCCTCGCAGGCAGGCACAGGCACACACGTCAGGGACGCAGACGCTGTGCCTTGGGGTGTCTGACAGAGGCACTCCTCACAGAAGCTGAAAGTGAGCCCAGCTTGAATTCGTCACTATTTTCGGTGGATCCAAAGCGCAAACACAGACTTGTGCAGTTTCTGGCACTGATTAAATATACTCGATGTGAATTTAAAAAAAAAAAAAACCAAAGGAGGTGGGGTAGGGGAGAAGAGCTGAATGAGTTCCGGGAGGGTTGTTTTTTATTTTCCCACTCTCTAACAAGAAACCTGATCTGGTCATGCTGCAAACATTGCTGCTGTGCCCGAGCCCCCGCGGGCGGCCCCGCCGGGCTGCAGCCTGCACCGCCCTCCGGGTGGAAAGATTTCTCTCCCCGTCATTTGCTATTATTATTATTATTATCATCATCATCATCATGAT